ATTCTAATATCTAATAATTTAATTAAATAAGACAGAATTAAAATTTTATTTTGAAAAAATAATCTATTAATATTTATTTGATGTATCATCTTTTTGCACCAGACCATATTATGAAACATGCTTACATTGTATGCTTAACTTTTTTGAGCTCAAATTTAACTTTTGGTATCTTTTCCATCCTTCATATGTCAATATCAACCGTTTTGAGACATACGCTGACATTGTAAATTAAACATTTTACTGTGAATAATTGCATTTTTACATATTCTAACGTTAAATGTATATACAAACATGTATCTCTTTAATATTTAGCGATACTGTAACAAAATAATATATTTCGCCTTCATTTGGAACATACAAATAGACACGACAAAAAGATAGATCCGATAAGTCTTGAAGTTCCTCAGCGTTTGTTTTTTTTTCTGAAAAAGAATCCTAACATTTTTCAATAATAAACTTGCACCTTCTGAAAACTCCTTTATGGAGGTCTCATACAATGTACAAGATGTAAATTGACGACTCCGTTCACCAAATGGTCGTTTATCGGTCACAATTTGTATATAACCATCCCCAACGCTGTAAGCATTAATATATGGTTTTCCATTAGCGCCTCTGAACTCATATAAGGAAGTACAGTGTTTGTTGTCCAAAAACAGTAATTTGAGAATATTATTTATTCCATATAAATATTCAAACTTCTCATTTCAAGTCAATTTTTATTTTCTACATATATCTCTCACAGATATTATGTAATATGCATAGGAATGGGTCAGTTCATTAATAAACCATTTGAATGGTACGGTTCGAACCAGTTAGGTTTAGTGCCTGTTCTATTTTAATACATGTAAAATCGGTTCAAACCGATTAAATTAGTTCAAACTGGTTCCAGTTCTATTACATGTATTTGAACTGAATCAAACCGAACCAACCCATCCCTATTATTCAACTGCTTTTATATTCGAGTTTGCGCAGAACTATTTCATCATAATCGCGTATCTTTTTCAGGTTAGCCACCTCACTACCTTCTATGAAAATTTATAGTTGATAAATTATTCTCGTTATCTTTTACATGTACTTTACATATATTTAGAAGATCAACGGTGCTTTTACTAAAGTAACTTTCCTAAACTCAGGATATTAATAAACGATGTGTTAACGTCTATAATAATGTGAATTTATTGATATCAAATATTTTTATTGTTAAAATGCTGTAATTTGAAACGCGGAAATATATACTCTCTAAGATACTCCACCAATCTGAAGAAAATGAATAAGTAATATTATAACATTAAGCCTTTTTTTCATAATACATGTATAAGCTACTATTCTGATCATTAACGTTAACATTAGCTCAGTAAATATTTGAAAGAACTTTTGATTAGAAATTGATTCGTATAAATCATGATTTTGTGGCCAAACAATTTATGGCTTACTGTACTAGTTGTACATTATATGTAAATATTAAAAAATTTATTTATATATAGTCTTAGAATGGCGAAAAAATTCATATCGTTTCAATTAATTTTACCAAACAAAAAAGCAAAAAAGAAAAAAATTTACAACGAAACTTTTAATCTCATACGCTATTATTATATTATTATGCTGTAGTTATCCAGAATAATTTCCAATAGCAAGGTAGATTGCTTAATTTAATTAAATAAACCTTCTATTACTTTTGTTACTGCATGAATACAGGCGCCAACGCGAACTTTGTCAATGGGATGGATGTGAACAGGCACAACTGGTAAACTCGATGATCAATGACGCTGATAACGTCAATGGCGTCGGTAACGGTCAATACTGGGTTACGGTGACTCCTCCTTCTCTTTACACTCACTAGAATCTATCTGCTCTATTTTAACTTTTTAATATAAATAATAGATTTATAATACTGAATGTCAGCATTCATTAGTCATTGTGAATAATTTGCTCGCAATTTATTTTAATTTTAATAGTTTTCATTTACCGTTAGGTTCTACTGTAACCAAATTGGATAAAACTCCACAAATCGCCAAAATTAGAAAATCGTTTGCATCATGTGCCTATGCGCATAGTTACTAACCGATATCGTAAATGCACATACACAATTATGCATATGGTTAAGTTCATAAATCAAGGCATTTGTACTCAATAAATAATGATAAACCAACCGATAAAGAACATACGTATAATGATAATGATAAACATCTACATCTTTATTGTTGAAGTTCTATATGGGAACATTTAATCAAATTGGTCATATTGCTGGATTTTGACAACAGCATGCAGAATGTAAATACTGTGAAAATCCCAAATATCAATGCAATAATTCAGTA